CGGGGAGACCCCAGGTGTGGAGGGCGCCGGTCCCCGCAGGGGCCCCACGGCCAGCGAGCCCCGTCCCGCCCGCCTGCGCCCACGTACCCGCCACGGAGGAGGAGCCCTCGATGGCGGCCCGGGGCCGGCTGGCCCGCAGGTTGGACGCTACGTGGCCCATGACGGTGTCGACGGTGGCCACCAAGCCCAGCGCCACTCTGCTGTCCTGCAAACGACACAAGTGGGGGGCCGTGAGTCCCCCGCCCGGCTCACGCGGGAGCCCACGGAACCACGTGTCCCCACCACGGCCCTCCCCGGGAGGGAGAAGCCACACGACTGCCCTGACTCACAGGCCGGGAGGTGACCACAGAGAGGCCACAAGCCGGCCAAGCCCACGAGCAGGGACACAGGTGAGGGTGGACCCCCCCACGGCCCAGGCCACGGGCTCCTGCGTTTCTGGGCCAAGACACCGACTTCTGGGCTCAAGCGATCCTCCTGCCTCAGCCTCCCAAGTAGCTGGGACTACAGGCATGCACCACCATGCCCGGCTAATTTTTTCTACATATTTTTAGTTGGCCAATTAATTTCTTTCTATTTATAGTAGAGATGGGGTCTCGCTCTTGCTCAGGCTGGTCTCGAACTCCTGACCTCGAGCGATCCGCCTGCCTCGGCCTCCCAGAGAGCTAGGACTACAGGCATGAGCCACCGCGCCCAGCCTCGCTAAGTGCTTCCGACAGCTCTGGGAACTGCCACGGGGTGCAGACCATGGGCCTCGGCCCCTGGCCAGGTCCGCCAGTGACCCAGCTGCACCTGGTGTAGACAGGCGGCTGCAAACCCAAGAGCACAGGGCCAGGCGGCTGCCCGCGTAGACCAGGCCGGTGCGCACAGAGGGAAGGAGGAAGCGGAGGCCCCACTGCGGGCACAGAGCCGGCCAGGAGGTCACGCCGCCCGGCTGTCCAGCACTGGCCCGAAACCCAAGCGTCTCGGCGCCAGCGCCTGGCTTTTCACCCTGTCAGGGTCAGACACGACACATGCACGGGCCGGGCCTGCAGCCCACGGGACACGGACACCGCACGGCTCACCTCCGTGAGATTCTGCGCCGTGTCCTCCGACAGAGATTTGTTGGGTAAACTGAGGGACAGGTTCTGAAGGTAACTCAGCACGGTGCCGGGGCTCTGGAAGTTTCTCCTCTCTTCCGTGAGGTTGGTTATGATGGGGCGGTAGGCGTCGGTGGGCACCTGCAGGAAGGCAGCGGCATGAGTTCCCGCTCAGGACTGACGCCAGGTGCGCCACAGAGGTTCATGGGTCCTACTCTGGGTCCAGGGCTGTTTTTTTAATTTTATTTTTTCTTAAGACAGAGTCTCACTCTGTTGCCCGGGCTAGAGCGCCGTGGCGTCAGCCTAGCTCACAGCAACCTCAACTACCTGGACTCCAGTGATCCTCCTGCCTCAGCCTCCTAGATAAGCTGGGACTACAGGCATGCGCCACCACGCCCGGCTAATATTTTCTATTTATAGTAGAGACGGGGTCTCGCTCTTGCTCAGGCTGGTTTCGAACTCCTGACCTCGAGCGTTCCGCCTGCCTCGGCCTCCCAGAGTGCTAGGATTACAGGCGTGAGCCACTGCGCCCGGCCACAGTGCTTTTTATACCATGGTAATAACCAGGTAGGCTGGGTGTGGTGGCTCACACCTGTGATCCCAACACTCTGGGAGGCTGAGATGGGAGGATCACTTGAGGCCAAAGTCTGAGACCAGCCTGAGCAAGAGCTAGACCCTGCGTCTACTAAAAATAGAAGTGGTGGTGCATGCTTGTAATTTCAGCTACTTGGGAGGCTGAGGTGGGAGGATCGCTTGAGGCCGGGAGTTTGAGGTTGCAAACCACGGCACTCTAGCCCAGACAACAGAGTGAGACTCTGTCTCAAAAAGAAAAAAAGCAATGAAGAGAAGGGCACACACGGAGGCCGAGCGTCCAGGCGGCCCCTCCCCGCGCCCCACCCACTGAGCCCCCGGCCTGGCCCCCAAGTGCTCCCAGGGGTCTGGCTCACTCCTTGCAGGCACCTGAGCTTACTGGGGCAGACACCCAGGGGCTCCCCTCCCCAGCCGCGGCTGAGACCCAGTGCCAGAGCCGGCCTCCCCGCCACCTGCCGTCTCCCCAGACCTCCCTCTGCCCGCAACGCCACGGGAGCCCAGCCCCGCCGGGGGGTCCGTCCCCGGCAGACAGACGTCAGCCGACGCCTGACAAAGGCCAAAGGAAACGCATCTGCTCACCGCGGTGCTCGCTGCAGGGGTCACGCCGAGGCTCGGCGGGGTGGACAGAGGCAGAACATGCTTTCCTGGGGGAGAAAGAAAAATGCTTAATTGAGCATCGAAACACGGCCGCCGTGTCGCTCACCACACGGAAGCGCTGTCCTTATTCAACACCTTCCGGCCCGCAGATCATTTGGAGCAAGAGCATTGCTGCAGAGATAAAGGCGACTAAATCAGAGTAACGGGCCGCGCGGCGGCTCACGCCTGTCATCCCACACCTAAAGGCAATGGTGGGAGGATCACTCAAGGTCAGGGAGTTCAAACCAGCCTGAGCAAGGTAAGACGCTCTGGCTCTCCTAAAACAAGTAGAAAGGAAATTAATTGGGCCAACTAAAACAATTTACTAGAACAAAATTGAGCCGGGCGAGGTTGGCGGTGCCTGGTAGTCCCAGCTACAATCGGGGGGAGCTGGAGGCAGGAGGATCGCTTGAGGCCTCAGGAGTCTGGAGGGTGTTGCTGTGAGCCGGAGGCTGACGCCACGCTACTCTAAGCTCTGGGCAACAGAGTGAGACTCTGTCTCAAAAAAATAAAACAAAAAATTCAGACATGAACGGGTGTTAATACGACATATGGATTTTTGCCCACATCAAGATCTTTTTCGCCATTCTATTACTGAGAATTGCGGTTTGTGAGCAACCCATCTCATGCAAGTCGACCATAGCGCAGAGATGACTTTATATAAGGTATCGCCGATTGGAAATACAATGAAGAACCCAGAGACAATAGTTTCCCTGGCAGCGGGGAGTGGCATTAGGTCGGCGGGCGGCGAGGACATCCCGCTTTTCCTCGCTGAGACCAGGCAGGAACGACGCGCTGCACCTCACGTAGCAAGAGGCCCAGGAGCCTCCTCCTGAGCCTCCCCCTGCCCGAGGTCTAATATCTCTGTCCTCGAGCGGAGGATCAGCCCCCCCGCCCTCTGAGGGCCAGGAGTTCAACAACCAGCCCGGGCACCAGCACTAGTGAGACCCCCAGGGTGTAAAAAAACAAGATTTGTCGATAGGAAAGAATTGCCAGGCGTGGTGTGGGAGCACCTGTAGTCCAGGTACTCAGAAGGCTCTCGACAGGAACCGCCAGAAAGCTGCAGCTGTGATCGTGCCCCTGCACTCCAGCCTGGGTGACAGAGTGAGGCCCTGTCTCTAAAAAAAAAATTAAAAAACAGAAACAGCTAAGAGCTACCGAAAACTCGCCACATGCCAGATATTGCACTAATGGCCTCGCACGTCTCTTCACATTTTATCTCCACCACGGCCCCAGGAGAGACGGGGTGTGGTGTTGCTGCTGTCCATTTCACAAAGGGGAAAAACACGATTTGAGCTGCCAGGACAAAAGGGTACACGCCGTGTGATTCTGTCTGTGGAGTGTCCGGAAGAGGTGATCCGCTGAGACAGAAAGTAGCCCCGTGGCTGCTGGCTCGGGGAGCATGGGGTGCTTCCTGAGTGTGGGGCTTCTTTTGGGGGTTCAGACTAGTCAGAGGTGGTGGCTGCAAAACACTGAGAATGTACTAAACGCCCCCGAACTGTTCACTTCTAAACACTTACGTTTGTGTTATATGAATTTTCCCTCCACTCTTAAAAAACTGACTTCTCAAGGTCCCGTGACTCATGGCTCATTAGGGCAGAGTGGGGATTTGAACCCGGGTCCACCTGCCCACAGGCCAGCACCGCCCTGCACTGAGCTGGAAGAGACTAAAGACCTTGAACCTGGCCCGGCGCGGCGGCTCACGCCTGTCATCCCAGCACTCTGGGAGGCCGAGGCGGGAGGATCGTTTGAGCTCAGGAGTTCAAGACCAGCCTGAGCAAGAGCGAGACCCCGTCTCTACTAAAAAAATAGAAAGGAATTAGCTGGACAAGTAAAAACACATGTTGAAAAAAATTAGCCGGGCATGGTGGCGGCATGCCTGTATGGCCCAGCTACTCGGGAGGCTGAACAGGCAGGAGGATCACTTGACGCCCAGGAGTTGGCAGGTTGCTGTGACGAGGCTGCCGCCCACCGGCATCACTG